CATATTTCTCCACCCCTATAAATAACCCCTCTATGTAGATGCACTTCTTGAGAAAATAGCGATGTCTTAATCATCGTTAATGTGTCTTCACTTCATTTGATGTTATCTTTTCTTTTTTTTACCATGTTGTTAATTAAAACATTCCCAGGAAAAATAAATGAATCATGAATTATTTGTCAGTGCTTCATATAACGTTTGAAGTTTGTCAATATATTTTGGAATATCACTTACTAATTTGGAATATATAGAGTATATAGCTTTTCTGCAAAGTGCAATTATATTGTTGCAATAAAAAATGCACTTGTTGAGAAAATATCAATCCTCAATTCTTAATTTATTTTTCAATTGAATTTAAACAAATTGTTACCACAAAATACGTATTTTCCTTTTAACTCTTTACATACTTCTACCTAAATTGCGTAACCAATTTCCACGTAATAAGAACCGCGTTTCAATAAAATAACGAACATTCATAAAGGAATGTACTATATACCATTTAAAAGATTGACCGAACAGGAAAATTCCGTCGGAATTATACAGTGAATATTAAATATCGCTGGAACAATTCGCCATGATTTGATTATGTAACGCAACAATTAGTGGGCAGCGAGGAAATATGTACCTTGCAGGGGATCGTTGCCGGTAGAAAAAAAAACGCGGGACGCGAGTGGAAAACAACCGGCGACTGATTACAGCGATGACAAATGGCAGCGTGGGAAATACGAAATGAAGGTTTAATAAGGTATGAGTCGGATCGGGAACGGTCGCCCGCCACATTCCCTGCGCTAATTAACAAATCCAATTTTAATCGACGCTCCAATTCGCGCTCGCCACCACCCCCTGTAGGTGTCCCACGGTCGGTACTCGTTCCGCCTGTGTAAAAGTGATTAGTGGCCGTCCCCGTGGCGAAATTATTTCGCGTCAGCTGGATCCGCGCTGCCTTTTTCCTCTTTCCACTTTCGAAAATGTAGCTACAACCGAGTATGAGATGTTTGCTCCATGAAAAACCCACTGTGCGTTGCGAGTGTGTTCTGGAAAGTGGAATTTTTCGACGCGGAGCAAGCAATAGAAGCGTTTTCTTTCTAGTTTTACCGCAAAACTTTGGGAAATATTGTTATGGGAATTTTTGGATTTTTGATATTGTCGTTTTTGGACGTTGAACGATTAACATGGAGTTCTTTGTCTTACCGTCTTCTTCAAGTTCTACATTTTCTGTGTTTTTCACACTTGAAGCGCCGGCTACTTTATTGGAAACTTGAGTTAAAGCGCCGCAATATTGGCGAGTTTTGTAGAAACACGGACTTTTACAAAATAAAATAAAATAATTCTTGCGAAACAGGAAATTTCTATCGAAAAATTTGACACGCTGCTTATTACAGGCACAGCGACGATTTTTAATGATATAAATATTGACCCACTTGCTGTTCAACAGATATAATATTTGTGTCCAGCGCTTAAAGTGTTAGTTGTACCAATTCCACTTGCGACTAAAAATTAATTTTTCTAAATTCACTATAACAATCTTAGCGTACAAAACATTTTCTATAGGAATTTTTCAATTATTCCACATACTAAATATATCAACAATCTTAAACCTAACACGAGAAAGCATAACAGCTCAACTAATTATACCCACAACTTAAAACTAACTTCTACCTCTCGATCCTACATTAACATTATACTCTGAAATTACATTCACGTTAATTACCTAACATATCCGTATCACACGTTCGACACTATTGATAACTATCCTCGTACAATCCGCCAACTACCTCTCACACCCCCCTCAAATGAATAAATAAATTACAACAGAGCAATTACAAGAAGAAAAAAGAGAAATGAAAAAATCAACAAAAGCATGTCCAATAAATCTCTCCTTTCTCGTCAGTTGTCCGGAGTTTTTTCGACTGGCTGCCAGTGGTAATAACCAAAACGCCTGGACGAGGTACCGAGAGAGAAAGATGGAAAGAGAGAGAGATAGTATTGAATGGCCAGCCTTTCCGCGATCACACCCGAATAATTCAGAAAACCGAGTCCGAGGATCGGTCGGGAAGCGATGACACGAATGGCATGTCGGGCGTGTCCGTGGGTAACCCAATGGGACCCGTCGCTTAATTAAAAATCGTGAAATCCGGCCCTCGTTCTGTCCCTTTGTTACCGCTCTCGTCATTCGTCGTTCCGTCGAGTAGAAAAAAATGTACAGGCGTCTACGGTTTTTCCATAGTGTGTCGTTGAAAAACGATCAGCAAGCGCGGGGGACAACCATTGCTCGCATCCGCCATTCTTTCGTTTGTACGCGTTCGCGCGCGCTCTTTTCCCTCGTACTGTCTGCCGGTATTGCCCCTTTTCTTTTTTCCTCTCGTTGTCTTCCTCGTTTTTCCTTCCCTCTTTCTCTGTCTCGCTTTTTTCATCTTTTTATTTTATACCATGCGAAGCATTCTGCCTGAATTTATCGTCTGTATATTATTCCTCCCTGGATTCAGTAATTGAGGGACGATGCGGTAGGAATTCGATATTTTCGAAGGGAATTAGGATTCGAGTGCTTCCGTACTGAGTATAGGTGTATTTCTAAGGAAATTGTTTATTGATGAGTGGTGGTAGGTTGGGTGGGAAAATCGTGACAGCTTTCGGTAGGTAGTGTTGGAGAAATAAAACTGTGAAATATTCTCAAAAAATTAGTACTTCGTGTGTCTTTGGAAAGTCTGTTTGTTGTAATCATTAATTTCTTCTAACATCGACATAGGAGATATTAGGAAATAATTGTAAAAATTTCAGATCACTATTAATTCAGGACATATTCGGTATATTAAGAGAAAAAAGAAAGGTTACTATCACTAATTCAACCAATTAAACAAACTATTACTCATGCAAGAGCTCGAAAGTATAGTCGATGGAATCAGTACAGTGAAGATCGTGAAATGGGTCAAACGCCAAACAGCAATTGGAGGGAGATAACGAGTTCAGGTCAACTCTGAATTGCAGTATAATATTCAAAAAAATTATCTTTGCCTTAATTCCTGACAATCACAGCTTAACTTTCACCAACATCGAAATTACTATTGAATAGAACATCAGTATCTTACTTAACACCTCAATTTACCTCCTCGCTGTATCGCTTCGACCAACTATACCTCTCAAACCTACACTCACTCCATACAATCAAATTTTCCAATAAACCCAAAAAATACCTGTACAAGACAATTTTTTCCGTCTCCCTGCAACAAGAAAAAAGAAATATTCCGCACGATTCAAAGCTATTCAGTGTAATCGCGTTTTCCATCGTCGAAGGTTCGATCTCGAAAAATTGGCAATAATACTCAGCGCGCGCACACACACGCTGCGAGATTGTTGAACTGTAAAATAGAGTGGCATGGTGAACAACGAACAGCCATAGCACAGGTGTGACGCCCCGTGTACTCGTTGGCCATAAGTTTCATTGTTCGTTCGGTGGGAGCCACACGCGTTTCGTGCGTTTACGCGCGTGCATGCGCGTCACGGGGCACCGATGCAACAACGCGGCGTGCACGAATTTTATGACTCGATCATTCCACGAATATTACGACGGTCGTTAACGTTCACGGCGGACGGAATTTCTCGGAGAGGGAAAAACCAGCCACCTTTCGTGTTACACGCTGATATCGAGCGAGAGAACGAGCGCGCGTTTACAGCTCACCCGTTAGATTGACACAGTGGGATAAAATGCTCGTTTTTGCGTCAAAATTGTAGAACTTTTGATAGAAATGAGATAGAGGGGTGAATCTTTCTCGAGGTTACAGCTAAGATGTTGCAGAATATGGGAAAAATATGGAAAAAATTGTACGGATATAGTTTCACCTTGAAAATCTATGTCAAAGTTGGAATTTTTCCATTGTAACGTGTTGTTTCTTTCTTTAACTTGTTATACATCGTTTCCTATAGATTTTGGTATGCAAAAGAATTCAAATTGGACCGCAGAATTTGTCTAATTCTTCAGGATTCTAAGCAACGTGCGATTCAAGTACACTTTGACAGAATTTTTTCACTTAAATCGACCAAAAGTTATAATGGCAAAATCGCAATTTTCTCCAAAAGTGTCAGATTCGACAGAGATTTTCAAAGTTCAAACTTTCTTGTGACCCCTTTTCTATATTTTCCCCTGATTCTGCAACATCTTAGCTGCAACCTCGAGAATGATTCATCCCTCTATCTCATTTCTGTCAAAAGTTCTACGATTTTGACACTAAAATTACCACTTCGTCCCACTAAGCATCAGCGGAAACGTGTTTTTCGAGTAAGCTGGAATTAACGAAGCGTTTACTGGGAACTCGTTAAGGGAGCGTCTATCGAAAATGACGATTTCCCTTAAGCAGATTCTGTTTTGTAAAAGTACACCGAGGATTGGATTCGTCGGTAGTTTTACAAAGGGTGTACAGAAATTTCAATAATCGTACAATATTCCATGAGCGTACGAAGGTATAAAAATCAAGGGAAATTCTCGAATTTTTCTTTTTTTTTCGTTACTTTTAGTTCTTTGAGGGAATTGTACGTATTTACATTGGACGAAGTAAAGTCTCGCGTGTCAGGAGGGCATAAAGCGGTGAAACGAAGTTGTTCATCTTCAAGTGCATCTTCAACCTGGATTGCTTTAATCAATTAAGGTATCTAGGTCGCCGACGAATTCTTCCTGTTTAAATCGTATTCTTTCTTTCCTCGAAAGCTGTGTGCTGTGAAGAGACTGAAAGGAAACTAAATAAGAAGTCTGATTACTATTTCCTCTATTTTGCGGATCTCTGTAAATGATTGCGTTTGGTCTTCGTTGCTGGAGATTTATACTCTGTCGAATGAATACAAACATTTATTAATTACTTCTACCCTTTTCCAAACGACTCACGGTGTATTGCTGATCCTCTTACATACAACTGGTGCATTTTTAAAATTTTAATTTTGTAGGCAATTTTTCTTTTTAAATAAAATAATAGAACCACTGCTGACGTTTTCGTTCTCCTTGCTGTGTTTCACAGAGTGCCACGTCTCCTGGTGCAAGCAACGATGGCCTCACGAAACAGCAACTGGAGCTCATTCAGCAGATTATGCAACAAACGCAACAGCAGCAGCAGCAACAACAGCAACAAACATCCGCGCAACAGCCACAGCAACAACGCAGCAATTCGTCAACCACAGTCACAGCACAGATTCAAAAAACGCAAAAACCGTCCGTCAAATCCACAACCTCGTCTGGCAACGTTTCGAATAATTCTGGAAGTTCGAATGCAACAAACAACGCAAGATCCAGCCCGAAACCTAAAGTCTGGAGTCACGTACAGGTGAGTACTGTTTTACAAACTGTCCATGTGCGTGTGTGAGTGTTGTTTTATTATTCAGCGAGTATTCGTTGGGATCGTTTATCGAAATCGAATGTTCACTTTTTTAAAAAGTTATAATCGAAAGAGAGTTAATAAAAATCGTTGAGAAATCAAGTGAGACTTCCAATTCTTCATTATTCAAATTTAAATATTTCTTAACTGCTCGAGTGAAAATTGTATAGGAAACGGACAGAAATGGTGCTTTAAAAGAATGTCCATTAAAGGGAGAATAATTGAAAAAAGCAGTGAAATACAGTAGATTTTAATTTGTTCGAATTTCTTCTTTAATGTTTATTCAGTGTTCTTCCCCAAATAAACAAACCATTCAAAGTGAAAATAATTTGAAGAAATAGTGAAAGACAGTAGGTTTAAATTTTCTCAAATCTCTCTTCTAATATCTTCTTCCCAAGGAAACTGATAAATATATTTCTGCGTATCGCTATTTTCAACTTACCGATTCGCAGAAACGCAAAGAAAATTCCTTCGAAACGTAAAATTCTGGGGACACTGTTAACATTTCCATTCCGGTATCAGGTGAAAATACCCGACGCGACAAAGAAATATCTCGTTGACCATTACTTAATAGCAACTCAACATTGTGACGCGGCGAAATGCATACATTACCCCGGGTATTTCGCCCGGGACGCGAAAGCATTTTAACGAGACAGTAGACGACGCGGTGTCTAATGATATATTTTGTCATTACAACTGATCAGCGTGACCCGTTAAAGTGCCGGTAGCTCGTGTTCACTTAAATTATGGAGGCAACCCGCGTTTGCTCGGCCTGATTCGTCTGGTGGTGCTCTTTTTCGGCGCCACACGCGATAATTTGCCAATTTGCATTAGCTCCCTTTTGCGAACTGCCGCGATAATTAATCTGTTATTCCCGCTGTGAAAAGTGGGTCCTTTCGATTTGCCTGGCTTCGAGAGCTCGATCAACGCGAATCACTGTGATCTTGTTACTCCGTTTCTTTGAACTGCGTTGACATTCAGTGACGCATTTTCGAAAAATCCCCCGTGAAAGTCGAAATCGGATAATTCTGTCGATTAACCGTAGGTCGGCTAATTGGAAACTGCGAATGAAATTTAACGGAGGATTTTTCAAAGCGGTAATCTCTTCTTTGATTACTTTATTTTAGAATTTTTAAATAAAGTAAATCGCGTAAATTCTGAAATTGGATAAAATGGATATTGCGCGCGTATTTCTGTGATTTTTCGATGAAAAGATTCGCGAGGGGAAATTTGTGGGGATTTATTGAAGATTCTCTGCAATATTTCTGACTGCTTTAGTTCGTAACTTTTGATTCGGTCTTCGGTTTGCAAATTGCTATCGCAAGTTACGAAAGAACAGCATTTTGCTTATGCGAGTCTGTGTTAAGTAAGATTTATCGTGTTTTATCAACGGTGGAATGAGATGAAAAGAATACTGGAGGAATTTACGCACTCAGCGTTGCTTTCGTGAATTTTCTTCTTTAATTAGACTTCTATCTCGTTATCAAAATGCAGAAGTATCAACTTAGAGTTATTAGCGTTTCGAAAGAGAAAAGAGAAAATTTTATGATCACGAGTAAAATTATTAAATAACTCTGTAACTTTTCATTCTAAATTATTCACTGAGGTAATTAGAAATCTGTGATTTTTTATCGATAAGAACCACCAAATTCGAACTAAGAATTTCTACTTTACACACGTGAAATTTATTCCAACTTCTGTTCTACACAAAGATAATTAGAGATCTGTAACTTTTTATCGATAAGAACCGCCAAATTCGAAGTGAAAAATTTCCACTTTACACGCGTGAAATTTATTCGAATTTTTGTTCGCTGCAATTTAGCTTTTGATTCGCCGTAAAACAAAAGCAATCGTCGTCCGTGGTGCGCGTACATTTCCCAATTGTTGATACGAGAAATACAATCGACAAACAGCGACGTTGTTGGCACAAGGAATTCAGTTTCCAGCCACCCAATCATATCCACCGTGTGCCTTGTACGTCGACTTAATCGATCTAATAGTAGTTACCCAGTTCAGTCTGGAGACAAATTGTTTACCGTTAGCTCCAATCTATTTATAAGAACAGTAAATGCTAATCGCGGTGCATTAGCGAGGATCAACACGTAATCCTTTCGCAATCTTCTTGCACTTCACTTTTCTCAGCAATATTCTACACGTTTATTGTACTATTCGTCACGTTTCACACGCGACAAAGTCAATTTACCGAGAATATTTCGTGAAATATTGAAATATAATTTTCGATAGCTTTGCAGGTCGTAAATAAAGTTTCCAAAAAATTGCAGCGTTTTTTTTTGTTTTGTTCGTTTCCTTGTTTAGTATTCTTTAGAATTTTCTATTCTAGCTGCGCGTAAAACTCAATATCTGTCGAGCATCCTGAAAACTGATTAAATTTCTAGCTTTGCTGGTATTGTTGTGCTTACGGAATTGAATACAATCCTGTTTAATTAAATTTAGATCTGCTTGTTTAGATTCTGGTTTGATTGCAGAGCAAAATTCAGCGAATACACTTCATTGAGTATTCAATAGTAGTACATTTTATTGCACTCTTTAATATAACATCAAATGAAATAGAAATGAAATGGGAAATAAAATAAAAATCAAGTTATACTTCAATTAATTTTTCCTAGGAAAAATTTCTTTACTAAAATCTCTCGCCAAATCATCAGTATTCCCCCTTAATTATTACGCGAACAATTAACCAACGAACGCATGAAAAAATCTCATTCCCAAGCACTAAGCAGCATGTGAAATTAAACGATTAATTCTTCCTAGAAAAATTTCTTTCAAACTCTCACCAAACTATCAGTATTTCCCTTTAATTATTACAGGAACAATTAATCAACACGTGCAAAAATCTCATTCCCAAGCACTAACCAGCAAATGAAATTAGATAATTAATTTTCCCCAGAAAAGTTTCTTTCAAAATCTCTCAGCAAATGATCAAAATTTTTAATTAAATCGTCACGTGAACAATTAAGCAGCAAATGAAATCAAATCCTATTTAATTTTTCCAAAAAAAAATTCCTTTCAAAATCTCTCACCAGATTATCCATATTTCCCTTTAAATCGTCACGTGAAAAATTAACCAACGAACACCTAAACAGATCTCAAACACCAGGAAATATGTCCCATCTCTGTTTTATCATGTTCTTCGCATCCGAAGCAAGGCGCCTGGTCGGTGGACCAACGGTGGAACCTTCACCACCACCTAACTTCATTACGTTAATGGCATAATAACCATTGTGGCTGGGCGGAAGGGCTTACGCGCTGAAACGTCGGCGTCCCTAAACAGAGCAAGAAGCGAGAGCTAGCCCCCGAAATCGATCGAATCGCCATTAATATGTATGAGACCTTTGTCGATAGAACGACAGAGGAGGTGGATGAACGCGCCTCGCCGTCATAGTAGGGCCGGGAGACGAAGAAAATCGCTGGAATCGTCGTTACTCGACGAAGACGAGATGGGGACCTGCTCGTAATTGGCCAGGAATTCGTGGACGAACGGATTCTAAAGGACTTTCGGCTCGCTTTCGTCCGTGAGACGGAGAAACAATCGACGCGGCCGGGGATCCGCTCGAGCTTTATTCCCATTCCGCGAGATCAAAGGACGAACCATCGCTTCGGGGATAAATAATTTCACCTGCAGATCGATTCCAAGTGTTCTTAATGACGAAGAACTTGTGAATAGGGGTTTTCGTGTGTTTTTTTTTTTTTTGGTTCTTTTTTGGGAAGGGAGGGTTGTCTTTGAAAGGTTAAGTGGAAATTGGATGACTCGTTATTGATCTGGGTCACTGATCGATTTCCGATAAGGCTAGATTTTTTAGAAGTGTACAGGGAAAAATTTTTGGCAAGGTAGCTGAATAGAAATTGAAGACTATTTCAATGGAAATATTTTGGTTAAATTTGAATTGCAATAATATATAATAATTTGTAATAATTCATCTTGGAAAGTCTAAAACGCCCACAAAGTCTTAAACTTTAGCTATTCTTTTTGTAAAATAATTTACATAGGCTGGGAATAATCAGTTTTAGTGTCAAAAATTATTAGACACCCTGTGTATTCTTTTCAATTTAAATTAAATTAAACCTTCTAACAATTTAGGCTACTTAGAATTAATATAGTAGAAAATTCAAGTAAATTCTAAGTGTAACGTTATCAAATTTCTGCTCCCTTCCCCTTTCTCATTCCCCAAAAATTGTCACGTTTTAAACTTCAACTCTTTTTTCATAAAATAATTTACGTAGACTGGGAATAATCAATTTTAATGGCAAAAAGAATTACACACCGTATTTATTCTTTTTAATCGGAATTAAATTAAACCTTCCAACAATTTAGGCTACCCGCAGTTAACATACACATACCAAGCAAATTCTAAGCGTAACGTTATCAAATTTCTGCTCCCTTCCCCCTCCGTTCCCTCAAAAAATTATCACGTCGCGTGTAACACACACTTGACACTCCGAACCGTGGGAAAAAAAAACCCACCAATCACCCTTAAACCCACAGCCGCCGTCAATTCCGCACCGTACGTTTCTCCTTTCTTCCGGCGAATGAATCGTTCAAGCGGGCGTTACACGCCGTTCGGAAAAAAGGATCGATCGCCGGTAAATTATATCGAACCCGGGGTCGGTTCACGGTGGTTTGTAGATGGAAAAATGGCGCGCGTGTACCAATCGGCTGCTCTAATTCCGCCGGAAATAGCCGTGGCCGAGACGAGGCGGTGATTTAAAGCGGGTTCGGCCTAAAACATTAGCCAGGCTTCGGAGGGAAAGTGAAAGAGTAAACACGACGGCCACAAATTGCAAAGGTAACGACGTGTTCTTAGTCACCGTTCCTGGCAGGCGAACTTTTCGCTGCAAATAGGTGCTTTCCTATGTCTTTGCTGCACGTGTCGGTGTGCGTGAACGAAAAGGGGTGAGCACTCTACATCGGTATTCACCGGTAA